GCATTCCTGTATGGTGCCCGGCTTCTCTTTCTTTAGTAGGCTCCTCACATTTACTGAGGCTATAAGGATCCCCATGATAAAAGTTCGGGGGAAGAAGGGGAGTTGCAGCTTTCCTTTTCTCATGTCTTTATTTTTTAGGGTTCTTGTTCCAGCTCAAATTTTTCACCGGCCTGCAGAAGTCCTTCAGGGAGCCCAGCTCCCTTAACTGGATGGTGTGGGTGTGGAGGAACTTCAGGCCTTTCCTGTGCCATGGGGTTTCCCATTTGTCCTGGTCTATCTCTAGGCACCCTGGGGGTTCCTCCTGTCCCCCCTGAATCTCCATGTTTGAGCTATAATTTCTCCAGCTTCTGGGGTTCCGAGTCCCCTTTGTGGGGTCCAGCTTCTCCCTTTCCCTCTCATCCTCCTTTTCCATTCTTTTAAGTTCCTCAACCATCTTAGGGCTTGCGTGCTTTCCTGGGAGTGGGTCCCTTCCTTCTGTTTCCTTCTCTTTCCCGACCTTCTCTGACCCCTTTTTCTGTTGTTACCAGTGGGTGACTGGAGGGGGTTGGGCCAGCTGGGATTTCTGTGGTCATTTTTTCTTTGTTTTTCACCTTAGTTTTGTACGCACTGGGGCAATCTTTAAAGAGCTGATCCACATCCCCACACAGATTGCAGCACCAGCCGTGCTCACAGTCCTTGGCTTCATGACTTTTCTCCTTGCACGTGGCACAGATTTTAGCTGTACATTATGCCACCAGGTGCCCCTGCTCCCTGCATTTGTGGCAGTGTTTGGGTTGCCCCTGGTAGAAAACAAAGCCTCTATGGGGGCGCAGGGAGATTCTTGGGGGGAGGTGCTGCATTACCCTGGCTTTCCAGGCTCCAGTCCATATCCCAAATTTATCTAAGACTTCCTCCACTTTTCCTACTTCCTCACAATGTCTTCTGAGCCAAAAACTCATGTCCTCTTCCTCTATTAGGGATTAATACATTTGGATTGTATCCAACCTTTCTCCTCTCATGCCTCCCCCCAGATCTGAATGCATGCAGTGGGGATTTCCCCTGGCTGCCTCAAGCTGCTGCCAGAAATCTGACCTAGCCTTAGGATCTTTGTAGCTCAGCTCTAAATCTGCCGCACATGGCATGCAAAGATGATAATGCAAATTCTTCATCTTTACCTTGAGCAGGTCTTACATAATGAAGATTATGAAGTCATCTCTCTCCAAAGTAAGCTTTCCTTGGTTCACGTGTCCATTCTTCACCGGACCCTCCACCAGGAATCCTCTGCCACCTGTCTCCATATTTAGGGTGTCACCTGTCCTGAGATCTAGTGACTTCAAGGTTTGGGGTCCTTGCTCCCCTCCTTGCACGAGTGCAGGGACAGCTCAAGGTTCTGTATCTGAGGCTAAGACATCTGGATATTTTATTTTACACTTGATCTGAGCCAAAAGGCTGAGCAGTGATCTTGTACTTACTTACATGTATACAATATTTTATGTTTACAATTTTGTATTTACTTACTGTGACAGGGTGCTTGGTGTGCCTGTCACTTTAAGAGGAGAGAAGCCGATGGAGAAGCAACCTGCAGGTGTGGTAGGAGCTGATTAGAGAGTCACTTGATCAGAAGGGGGCTGAGCTTGAGCCATATAAGCCACAAGGAGAGGAGTTTCTGGCAGCATAGCTGCAGCAGGACTCCGGAGATGAGGTAAACAGCACTGAGTATGGGAACAAGGCCAGAGGTATGGAGGTCTCAGCTGGCCAAGAGGAGGGACCAGAAGAATAGAGTGCCTGAGAAGCTGGAGCCCAGGAGGGGCTGAGTAGGTACGGCCAGGAGGCCTGAGGTCAGAGCCCAGGCGGGGCGGTGGTTGCAAGCAGGGCCTGGGAGCCCAAAGGTTTCAGTGGTGCAGAAACAGGTCTAGAGATGGGCCAGATGCTGAGAAGGGCCACATCTGGAGGCTAGTGGGACCAGAGGAGCCCAGGAGTCTCACCTGGCCTAGGAGTGGGGCCAGGGCCTAAGGAGGGGCCAAAGACCAGGTCACAGCTGGCACCTGAGGGGGCTAAGGAGCCTGTAGCCCAGGAGGGGTGAGGACGGGCTAGGAGTCCACAGCTCAGGAGGGGCATGTAAGCCCTCTCTCTCTCTGGAGCATATGATTAATGTGGCCATGTCCTCTGAGGTGCAGCTGGACCAGGCTGCCCTGTGCCTCACCTGCAGAACCCTCTGGGTTAAAATCTGTGGGGAACACGGCACAAGGGACACAATGGTGGGAGTCTACTACAGATCTCCCACCCAAAGTCAAGAGCTTGACCAGGAGTTCACCCGGGAACCGGCTGAGGCCGCATGCTTCAGGACCGTGGTTGTCATGGCTGACTTCAACTACCTAGACATCTTGTGGGAAGATCACTCAGCAAAATCCGAGTGGTTGCAAAGCTTCCTATCGTGTGTGGATGACCTCTACCTGACTCAAGAAGTCTACAGGCCAACGAGGCGTAAAGTGCTGCTTGACCTGGTACTGGCTACTGGGGATGACCTAATCGGCAACCTAGTGATCGATGGGAAGCTGGGTGACAGCGATCACGAGTTGATCACCTTCACCATCCTCTGTAAAGCTAGCAAGTCAGTCAGCAACACTGAAGTCCTTAACTTCAGGAAAGCTGACTCTGATAAGCTTGTCAGTGAGGCCCTAAGGGATCACGACCCCAGAGGGAGGGGAGTTCAGGAAGAGTGGTTGCTCCTCAAGGGAGCTATCCTCAATGCAGAAGCTAATTCTATTCCATCTCGGAGGAAAGGCAGCAAGAGGGCACAGCAGCCCCCCTGGCTCTCCAGGAATCTAGCAAACCTCCTATGGCTAAAAAGAAAGGCCTACAAAGGATGGAGGATGGGATTCACCTCCAAGGAGGAATATTCTGCACTGGTCCGGTCCTGCAGGGAGCAAACCAGGAAAGCCAAGGCTGCGACTGAACTTCAAATAGCTTC